TCTCTAAGTTTCCTCATTGGTTTGAATATTCGATGTGGTTTGAATTCAACTGATTCAGTTAGAGAATGCTGATTGTAAGATTCATGTTGAGTCGATCATGTATTCTCCGAACGGCTGCACTGGTATGAAAAATTGGGAATTTGACTTTCCAGATCAAAGGGATATTTTGAAATTCACTTGTTCAGAACCTAAAATGCACTAGAAGTAAGCCAGATTACAGCTCATGAAACTGGTATACGCATAAAAGATTCATTAGTGGCCGCTTCAGCTCCACCCAATTATGTGGCTGTTTCTGACAAGGATCGTGAGTTGACTTAAAGCATAAAAATTTTTGTATTTTTCATGTGTGAATGCAAAATCATTGATTTTCCACGACTGCGCCCTTCGACGCATGCATTTATCTTATTGTAGTCGACATTAGGTTTTACAGAACATTTTCACTCTGATTGCAATATGATGTTGACATCGATTATCTGTATTGAATGAGCAAAGGACGTGCTGAATAAGATCATGCTAAACATACATAAGAAAGTAGTATTCGGAAGCAGACTAGCTTGAATGTACTCTCATTTGTTATTGTGTTGAGATATCTGGTAACAGCATGAAATCCTCTGACCGCTAACCTCAAGGAACTCGCTCCACTGATAACAGCTGATATCTTATCATTCTGAAGTGATAGCAGCATATCATCATTCCGAATTCACGGAAATCAAATGTTGATTGTGAAGTTAATCGTTGTTCTCTAAAGTATGAAGTCCATTGATTCAGTGCATCACATATTGTAAAACGACTGATCTTTCATGCACATGATCAAATGTTACTATAGCAAAATTGGATACGTTGCTTTCACATCTCTTCTTGTTGTTAATGTTGATAAGTTGGCGATCATAAGCAAACTCAGTTATTTTGATGGTAGAATTCAATGCTATTAGAAGAAGTTAACGAAGAAGATTTCTCCACATATGAGTTTCAGTGGATAGTGCTGCAAAGAAGACACCTGGTTCACCGCAACAACAGTCACCAGCCCATCTCTTTGGTGATCAACATAATGATGTAAAACCAGTAGCGAAAGATTCACTCAATCAAGTGGGTGATAAGAACTTTATACCAGTGGCTGAGTTACCGGGTACGCTTCTTTCTTCGGAAACGCTCGAGTTTTTGATTTTTATCAGTGCTGATGATCGTGATCGGAACAGATGGATCAGAAATTTGGATCATTTTTTTGAAGTATGAAAGATAAGTTGTGATGGAACTTCAGAATGTTGCCACATTGAAAATCATTTGAAAAACTTGACAATATTTTCGAGAAAGCTGTTTTATCATATAATTTTCCTCTAATGGAGACTATCGCTTACAAGGCATTCATATCGAGTTTTGTTTATGGCAACA